GGCTCAGGTCATGATCCTGGAGTCCCGGGATCGAGTCCCACATCGGGCTCCCTGCTCAGCAGGGAGTCTGCTTCTCCCTCTGACCCTCCTCCCTCTCGTGCTCTCTCTCATTCTCTCTCTCGCAAATAAAAAAAAAAAATTTAAAAAAAAAAAAGGACAGTAATGTCAGAGATAACAGACTGAATAGGAACTCACAGCATTCAAAGCACTTAGCAGTATTAAGACCAACGTCAACTCTAGCGAGGGGAAGACAGGGTGAAGGGGGGTCGAGGACTCCTCTCTGGGTTGGCATGTGCACAGGATGAGGAGAAGCAGGAGGAGAATGGCAGGAGAGACCACAAGGAAGTCCGCAGTAAAGGTTAAGGCTCAGGCCGGTGTGGTTCTTGGGTCCACCGCATTCTAGCCACATGAACTTGGGCAGGTAACACCTGCTCTGATGACCTCAGCTGGAAAAAGTGGCTAATACCTTTACCTACATGATCACGGGAGGACTAAATGTGACGTAAAGCACTTAGCTCTGCGCCTGCCACACAAGAAGTGCTTGATTTTTAAAGAGCACAGGTGGCGGGATTTGTCTTGTACAGAATCCTTCCCTGAGAAGCGGAGAAGGTGGAGATGAGAGCAGTTGGACAGCAGGACTCCGCGGGGTGCACAACCCACGTTCTCAACTCCCATCAGTGAAGCAGGAGTTGAAACTGCGGGGGGGTGGGTTTAGATCGTGAGGAAAGCCCGTGAGAGGAGATGGACAGATGGGTACATTAAAAGCAACAGGATCAGCAAATGCTGCTCAAGTTCCAGCGAGAGGGGAAGCTCATGGTTGGTTGGGGGGCCTCATGCAAGCGGGCGGAGCTCATCACCCAGGCCTGGGCCTGACTCGGGGTCTGTGAACCACCACATGGCAGGAAGGAGGCGCCGGCATGTGTGGAAGGGGAGGGGAAGCGCTGGGAAGGAGGAGGTACAGAGGAGAAAAATGAAGACTAAATGTTTCTGAGATCTCTATGAAGTAAGGAGAATAAAACTTCGGAGCCAGATGACTGGGCCCTCTCCCCAGCTATTTACTCGCTGTAGGACCCTGGGCAAGTTACTTAGCCTCTGTGCCTCAGGCTCCTCACTGGTCAAGTGGAGAGAATACCTAGGTTAAGGGTGTTGGGAAAAGACAGAGTCACCTAATTTACATAAAGAACATAAAAGCCCATCTGAAACATAGTAAGTGCTCCATCAAGTTTTACCTGTTCTAGTAAATGCACTGAGGAAAAGTAAAAACAAAATAAAGAAAATTATTTAAGAGCTGTATACAAAAGAAAGGGTTACCTGTTTCTGTGTTGGACCTTGTTTTGAAAAATAACCAAAGGAGAAGAGCCATGGGAACTAAAGGAAAAAATAAAAAAAATCCTCAGTGATATTTTTAAAAACTCATGGAAAATACTTCTAAAGACCTAATTTCATAAAAATACCACTTACTTTTATGAGAAGCTGCCTTCCAATGCCAAACTTCACAAAGAATAAAAAGAAAAGTCCCGCAAACATCAGCTTAATAACAGAGGTGATGCCTCCCACCGTCATATAAGCGGCGTACTGGACCTAGATGAGGACGTAAAGTCAGAATGTTACTCCCTACTTCTGTAGACTACGTAATACAAGAATGTTAGCTATTTAGAACTTCCTCTGTGGTCATAAACAGTGCGCAAAAGCAGTTTCCACTTTATGAACGTGTTATGTTCTAAAAGCTTGTTCAGAAACCAGGCATTGGGAGCCTGTTTTTTAAAGAAATTGTTGCAAATGATAATTAGCTTCCTTGAGCTGAACACAAAAGTCCCCATGATCCATACATAAAAAGCCCACAAGAATGTACCTAAATTTAGTAACTACACATTGTAAGATACAGATTCTACTTACAACCTCTTCTATGAGAAAATGATCTTTTAAATTGAGATACAGTTTCCTCTTTTTCCCCCCTGTGGCATGCTTTAGCTCTGGTCCTGCTTTCTTTCTTTTTCTTTCTTTCATTTTTTTAATTTAAATTCAATTAATTAACATATAATGTATTATTAGTTTCAGAAGTAGAGGTCAGTGATTCATCATCTTATATAATACCCAGGGCTCATATAACACATACCCTCGTTAATGTCCATCACTCAGTTACCCTATCCCCCCCCACCCCTCCAGCAACCCTCAGTTTGTTTCCTATGATTAAGAGTCTCTTGTGGTTTATCTCCCTCTCTGATTTTGCCTTGTTTTAATTTTTCCTCTCTTCCCCTATGATCCTCTGTTTTGTTTCCACATATGAATGAGATCATATGATAGCTGTCTTTCTCTGAATGATTTATTTCACTCAGCATAATACCCTCTAGTTTCATCCACGTTGTTGCAAATGGCAAGATTTCATTCTTTTTAATGGCTGCGTAATACTCCACTGTATATATTTACCACATCTTCTTTAACCACTCATCTGTTGATGGACATCTAGGCTCTTTCCATAGTTTGGCTATTGTGGACAGTGCTGCTGTAAACAGTGGGGTGCAGGTGCCCCTTCGGATCATTATATTTGTATCTTTGCGGTAAATACCTAGTAGTGCAATTGCTGGGTCGTAGGGTAGCTCTATTTTCAACTTTTTGAAGAACACAGTTTCCTCTTCAAGTCTCAGAAGTGGGAGCAGTTATTTCCCACACCAAAAGGAATAAAATGTTACTCCAGAGATCGGAGGTCGCAAGGAGAGGCGAACCCAGACATCTCACAAGCAACAGAGTACCCTAGCAGCTAAAGCGTGCAGTAGGGGTTGCTGGGTGTTTATGACACCAGCATTCCCTGGACTAAATTTGCTTCTGTTCTGTTTCATTAACAAGGTATGCAGCTGGCCAGATGTGAATTATGGGGGAGGCTACCTCTAGCCCCATAAAATGCAAAATGCTTTATGCTACTGATTCTTACCCTTCCAGAAACTGAACCCTGCATTATTTAGCCTGCTTTTTTTTTTTTTTTTGCTTTGTAAACATAAAAATCCTACATTAAACAAGTACGGGAACGATAATGAACAGTATACTCTTCATTAAAAATTAAATCGCATGCACTTACAGGTGATTGCTCTAAATTCTCGAGCAAGTAACGCTGAGTCCGCCTCACAACAGACACATCTGATCCCAAGAAAGGAATAGAATAGCTGTTCAGTTCTCTGCAGTAAGAAATTGGCCACCTGCAAGACAGACCCACAGACCCAAGAATATGCTGCATTTTCTCCACTTAGTTAACTCGGCAAAGTTCTGAATAAAAAATGTAATTTTCTTGAGGCAGTAATGACAACAAAGATGGCAGATCTGCTCTCAGTTAAAATTCATCTATCTGTCCTGTGTTCTCCACACCTACACTAAACAAGTGACGACTGGGAGAGCAGTATTCTTCACGCCAAGGGCACTTAACACATATGTTCTACCCCCTCAATCTCCCTAGACAGTACACTCATTTCAACAGCCAAGCCCTAGTATGAGTTTAGAATTCTCACATAAAAAAAGTTTTCACATAAAAGTGCTATTAATAGGGGCGCCTGGGTGGCTCAATCGTCTGCCTTCAGCTCACGTCATGATCCCAGAGTCCTGGGATCGAGCCCCGCATCAGGATCCCTGCTCAGCGGCAAGTCGGCTTCTCCCAACTGTACCTCCCACTTCCCTGCTTGTGTTCCCTCTCTTGCTGTGTCCCTCTCTGTCAAATAAATAAGTAAAATCTTTAAAAAAAAAAAGTGCTAATTATAGATAATCTACATAAGATCACCACACTTATTAAAATGGTGGTTTTACTGCCCAAAACTTAACTGATGTTTGATTTTGATAATGATAGTAAAAAGGCACAAAATTCATTTTCTCCCAGAGTCCAAATATGTTATTATATATGAAGTACTTAAGCTTAAGATAATATATTAATTATATTTTATTTAGCTAGGAAGACAACCCTGAATTCACTACAGAACAGTCTCAGGCTTTTCTAAGTCGCATACTTTATAAACCATATCACCAGCAATATACTTAGACTTGATATACTAAAGAATAGATTTTGAGGCACCTGGGTGGCTCAGTTGGTTGGGCATCTACCTTCAGCTCAGGTCATCATCTCGGGTCCTGGGATTGAGTCCCGCATCAGGCTCTCTGCTCAGCAGGGAGTCTGCTTCTCCCTCTCTCTCTGCCCCTCCCCCTGCTTGTGCTCTCTCACTCTCTCTCTCAAATAAATAAATAAAATCTTAAAAAAAAAGAATAGATTTTAAGTTACTATACCTTCTTTTCAATTTTGAACCAACAATTGGGACAGGTTTCAGATTTGACTCATTTCTCAGTTTTTTCAAATTACTTTGATCTCCAAAACCATAAACTGCAGACTTCCAGGTACCATCGTGAATGCACAACCCCTAATAAAAATTCAAAAGGTAAAGAAACATGACTTAAGGGATAATTACTAAAATGTAAAACCAAGAAATTTATAATTGTTTACAAAGAACATTTCGCCTCTATTTGAGCTAGCCATAATCCCTTACTTAATAATCTTGAGATGAATTTTCAGGCAGGACTAACACTCATTAGCTTGATCATATGCGATATTTATACCCACGTATGCTCTTTCTTCTTCCTTCCTACCATCATTTATGCTCCTTTTAAATGCCACTGAGTTTTACCCCTGCATTTTCACTCAACTAACTGACCATATTCCTTCAAATTAACCCTTCTAATTCCTATCCCTATGCTGATTCCTCAAAATCTCAAGATGTGTTCCTGAGCACGTTTACGCAACAGACACAACGTACATACCTATCCCGGCCCCAGCGTACCTGTTGCCCCACCACCCCCAACGCCCCTTACTCTAGCCCCAAGTTATATAAATGCCTTCCACGTAAGTCTTGTTAAAATATTTTTTTAATTTTAAGGCTCATTAATATGATTTATATTTCAATTTCTTTCCCCACTTCTTCAATTTCTTTCTGGAACTGTAGCCAGCATAGAATCCTTGCTTGATCTTGACCAGACTCATCCGTTCCCTTATTTCTCATCCTTCAGTGCTTTCCATTCTTCCAACATAATTACACCCTCCATGACCCTCACCTCCAATGCCCATTAGACGTGAGCAGCAGAAAGGAGAACACAGGCAAGGATATAACCTCGGAACTCAATGTCTTGGTGCTGACTCTTCTTTACCTAACTTCTAGATGGGCCTTTTAATTCTCTGTTATGTAAATATTTTAAACTTCATTTATAATTCTGATTGTATTTAGCTGTTTTAAGTCCTGCCTTACATGTAGTTTACCTTGTTTGAATGAACAAAGTTATTTAGAAATATTCAAAACCAACTTTGTCACAAGATTTTGAAAGAGGAATATCAGTAAAGCTGATGTGAAGATACTGTTGCTTGTTAATAAGCACAGTAAGAGAAACAAGAAAACCATCAGAAGATTCAGGTGTTTATATCAGAGCTTTGATGACACTGGAAGGCAGAGAGACACCAAACTTAATTTCCATTTTGATATATATTAGTATCTTCTATAGTGCTAAAACAAACAGAGCTACAAGTCTGAGGGGTTTCTATGTGAAACTACTCTAAATCTGGGCCCAGTCAATGTGACCTATTTGCAAATATAAAGATTCCCAGGGGCACCTTGCTGGCTCTGTCGGCAGAGCACGTGACTCTTAATCTTGGGTATAGAAATTCCTTGAAAATAAAAGCTTTAAATAAAAATAAAAAAATAAAAGATTTCCAAATACCAGGAGAAAACAGCTTTTTGAAAACCTAAGAATATCTTCTTATACAAATAAGCCATCAAAAAGGCACAAATCACATTCCATTTTTAAAAACTGTTTATCTTATTGAAAAACATAAAGTACACAAAACATAAATATATAATTTAATGAAATTATGAAACAAATCCCTGTAGCACAGAAGGCCCTCCTTCTGTCCTGCTTCATGGTAATAAAGACCAATACTTGCTTTCCTTAGAGTTTTACCACCTAAGTATTCATTCCTAAATTCACTTATTGTGAATTTTGCCTGTTTCTAAACTTTACAGAAATGGAAGCACACAGCCTTTGAGTTCGCCCTTTTATGCTCAAAACTGTGATGTTAAGATTCATCATGTGTTAGAAATAACTCCTACTTTGGAAATCAAAAATTACATGAAAAAATATGAAAATGAAAACATGACAGTCCAAAACCTTTGGGACACAGCAAAAGCAGTTCTAAGAGGGAAGTTCATAGCAATACAGGCCCACCTCAAGAAGCAAGAAAAATCTCAAATACACAACCTAACCTTACTCCTAAAGGAGCTAGAAAAAGAACAAACAAAACCCAAAACCAGCAGAAGGAAGGAAATAATAAAAATTAGAGCAGAAACAAATGATACAGAAACTAAAAAGCAATAGAAGCAATTGATGAAACCAGGAACTGGCTCTTTGAAAAGATCAACAAAATTGATAAATCTCTAGCCAGAACCATAAAAAGAAAGGACTCAAACAAAATCACAAAAGAAAGAAGATAAATAATAACCAACACCACAAAAATACAAACAATTGTAAGAGAATATTATGAAAAACTTGGGATGCCTGGGTGGCTCAATTGGTTAAGCGTCTGCCCTCAGCTCAGGTCATGATCCCGGGGTCCTGGGATCGAGTCCCGCATCGGAATCCTTGCTCAGTGGGGAGCCTGCTTCTCCCTCTGCCTGCAGCTCCCCCTGCTTGTGCTCTCTCTCTCTCTCTGACAAATTTTTTAAAAAAGATTATTATGAAAAACTATATGCCAACAAACTGGACAACCTAGATGAAATGGATAAATTCCTAGAAACATATAACCTACCAACACTGAAACAGGAAGAAACAGAAAATTTGAACAGACTCATTACCAGCAATTAAATTGATCAGTAATCAAAACACTCCCAACAAACAAAAGTCCAGGACCAGACGGCTTCACAGGTGAATTCCACCAAACACCCATTCTTCTCAAACTATTGCAAAAAAATGGAAAAGAAAGGAAAACTTACAAATTCATTCTGAGGCCAGCATTACCCCGATACCAAAGCCAGATAAAGACTACACACACAAAAAAGAACTACAGGCCAGGGGCGCCTGGGTGGCTCAGTCATTAAGCGTCTGCCTTCGGCTCAGGTCATGATCCCGGGGTCCTGGGATCGAGTCCCGCATCGGAATCCTTGCTCCGCAGGAAGCCTGCTTCTCCCTCTCCCACTCCCCTATTTGTGTTCCCTCTCTGGCTGTCTTTCTCTCTGTCAAATAAATAAAACCTTAAAAAAAAAAAAAGAACTACAGGCCAGTAGCTCTGATGAACATAGATGCAAAATCCTCAACAAAATACTAGCAAACCAAATCCAACAATACATTAGAAAGTCATTCCCCACAATCAAGTGGGATTTATTCCTGGGATGCAAGCGGGTGGTTCAATATTCACAAATCAATCATGATATATCACATCAATAAGAGAAAGGATAAAACCATATGATCATTTCAACAGATGCAGAAAACACACTTGATAAGGTACAACATCCATTCATGATAAAAACCCTCAATAAAGTAGGCTTAGAAGGAACATACCTCAAAATAATAAAGACCATCTATGAAAAACCCACAGCTAACATCATCCATAATGGGGAAAAACTGAGAGCTCTTCCCCTAAGATCAGGAACAAGACAAAGATGTCCACTCTCATCAGTTTTATTCAACTTAGTACTGGAAGTCCTGTCCTAGCCACAGCAATCAGACAACAAAAAGAAATAAAAGGCATCCCAACTGGTAAGGAAGAAGTAAAACATCTACTATTTGCAGAGGCATGATACACTACGTAGAAAACCTGAAAGACTCCACCAAAACACTGCTGGAACTGATAAAAGAATTCAGTTAAGGGGCGCCTGGCTGGCTCAGTCAGTTAAGCAGCAGCTCTTGATTTCGGCTCAGGTCATGATCTCAGGATCCTGGGATCGAGCCCCGTGTGAGGCTCTGTGCTCAGTGCAGAGTATGCTTGAGGATTCCCTCTCTCCCTCTGCCCCTCCCCCTGCTCTCTCCCTCTCTCTCTCAAATTAAAACAAAACAAAAACAAAAAAAATGTATTCAGTTAAAGTCTCAGGACCCAAAATCAGTTATGCAGAAAGAGAAATCAAGGAATTGATCCTATTTATAATTGTACCAAAAATAATAAAATACCTAGGAATAAACTTAACCAAAGAGGTTAAACACCTGTACTCTGAAAACTATAAAACACCAAGGAAAGAGACTGAAGATGACACAAAGAAATGGAAAGACATTCTATGCTCATGGGTTTGAAGAACAAATATTGTTAAAATGTCTATACTACCCAAAGCAATCTACAGATTTAATGCAATCCCTATCGAAATAGCAACAGCATTTTTCAGAGAACTGGAACAAACAATCCTAAAATTTGTATGGAATCTCTGGGGCGCCTGGGTGGCTCAGTCGGTTAAGCATCCAACTCTTGGTTTCAGCTCAGTCATGAGCTCAGGGTCCTGGGATTGAGCCCAGTGTTTGGCTCCACGCTGAGCATGGAGTCTGCTTGAGATTCTCTCTCTCCCTCCCCCTCTGTTCCTCCCTGCTCGCACTCACTCTCTCTCAAAACTTAAAATTACAATTAAAATTAAAAAATAAAATTTGTACGAAATCTCAAAAGACACTGAATAGCCAAAGCAATCTTGAAAAAGAAAAACAAAACTGGAGATATCACAATTCCAGACTTCAAGTTATATAACAAAGCTATAGTAATCAAAACAGTATGGTACTGGCACAAAAATAGACACAGATCAGGGGAACAGAATAGAAAACCCAGAAATAAACCCACAGTTATACGGTCAATTAATCTTTGACAAAGCAGGAAAGTATCCAGTGGAAAAACACAGTCTCTTCAACAATGGTGTTGGGAAAACTGCACAGCTACATGCAAAAGAATGAAACTGGACCACTTTCTTACACCATACACAAAAATAAACTCAAAATGGATGAAAGACCAAAATGTGAGACCTGAAACCGTAAAACTCCTAGAAGAGAGCACAGGGAATAATGTCTCTGACATCGGCCGTAGCAACATTTTTCTAGATATGTCTCCCAAGGAAAGGGAAATAAAAGCAAAAATAAACTATTGGGACTGCATCAAAATAAAAGGCTTCTGCACAGTAAAGGAAACAATCAACAAAACCAAAAGACAACCTACTGAATGGGAGAAGATATTTGCCAATGACATATGCATTAGGGGGTTAGTATCCAAAATACACAAAAAAACTGACACAACTCAGCACAAATAATGCAATTAAAAAATGCATTAGAAGGGCAGAAGACATGAACAGACATTTCTCCAAAGAAGACACACAGATGGCCAACAGACAAACTCATAAAAAGATGCTCATTATCACTCATCATCAGGAATATGCAAATCAAGGGGCACCTTGGGGGCTCAGTTGGTTAAGCCATCTGCCTTTGGCTCAGGTCATGATCCTGGAGTGC